TGTCCCCGGGGGTGAAGTTGCCCTAATCGTGCGATCGGTAGGCATGGTACTGAAGCTAGGTGCCGAAGGCTCCTATAGTTCTAGTTTGGTCCACGTGTCCGATGCTCATTGGCTGTTCATTTTGGTATAAACAGAAGTCCCCCAAGTTCTCTTGCGAGAGTTCTCGGAAGGGGACTTGAAGTTGTCTTCGGAAGGAAATGTTGTCCTGCCGTTCGGTAATCCAGTTGGTGGAGGGGCTCAACTTCGGCCATCTCGTTCTTGTTCATTCAGAGACTGACGTTGGGGAAGTCAGAAGGTCGCGTCGAGTGGACGGGTGAAGGGACATCTGGGCGCTTTGTCTTCTGTGCCTCGCGTTCCATTAGTCCCCCATAGAATGAGCGACACGTGGCGAGAGTAATCATGGTGCACGACGCATTAATGTGCCGTTTGGTTTTCCGAGGTATACCGTTGCGACCCCTCTCCCTATAAATAGAGATGACCCCGGAGGGGAAATCACTTTGCATTTCATGAGAAGCGAAAGCTCTGTTGAGGCGATTTCCGACGAGAGCTTCCGGCATTCAAGGCGATTTCCGACAAAGGCTAACGGTAACCATGCGATTTCCGGCGTTGCCAACGGCAAGAAAAGCCATTTTCATCAAGACGATCTGGAGAGCAGTTCGTGTTTCTTTTCTAGAGTTTGATTTAAGGTACCGTTCGGTAACTTCAATTTACTCTCTTATTTATCATAAGAGTTGGTTTGAACTAGACTGGCTATAGGGTTCCGTTCGGTAGTCTAGTCGCCATATGTAGTGATGTAGGGATCGGTATTAGTGATGTAGACTGGCTATAGGGTTCAATTTACTATCTTATTTATCTTGATTATTAATGGTCATTATTCAAAAAATTAAATTATGAAGTTATTTAAAAAGATTAAATGAAGATAAGTTAAGGGAAAACCCCAATTAGTAGAAAATATACAAAATTAGTCAGAACACTACTAAAAAAAGGCTCAAAAGAGACTGAGTGCTATCAGTGCCTTTTGGCTTCTTTAGGGACTGAAAACAGGCCTATTGTAGTATTAGAGACTGAAATATATCAGTGTCTTTTAAAGGGGTCCTCTATTGATAAAATGTCACTGATTATAAAAATCAGTGCCTAATTTTTGCATTGAGTCCCACATTCCTAGCACCCAATACGCGTACATCAATCCCAAATACATCCGTGCCTAATATAATCAAAAGGCACAGAATGCTCATCATTCCCTACTGAAATAGAAAAGCATTTTCATTATTTAGATATATTTATATTTATTTGGTGTGTTTTTATATTATTTGTAATTTTCAATTTATCCACCATCCGTGCCTGTAAAATATATTCTTTTAAAAGTTTTCATATATTTAAACATTAGCAACCCAGCCTCAATCCGTGCCTTTCAAACATTCATTGGTTTTTTTTTTTTTTTCCGTTTTCAAATATTCATTGTTTTTCAAATAAATGAATTACATTCCTAATGAAAATAATTATATTCAACATTCCGAAAATAATGAGAATACACCATACACAATAATTCCATTAATCTTTTCATAATGAAAATACAGAAAAGTGTTGCAAGTGGTGGACCTATCCTCAGGACTATTACATTAATATTTTCATACTGAAAATAGACCAAGTATTGCAAGTGGTCAACCTTTTTAACAAGAATATTACAGTTATGATATTAAAAACCAAAAATTTACCTGGAAAAGAAAAAAAATACGGAATTTCATTAAGCTCCACCGTGCTATTCACCATTAACTGCCATTCAGCTCCTCATTGCTTGACTTGATTAGCCATTGAGTTTCTCCTTGCTTAACTGGATTTGCCACTCAACTGAGTATTGGCTTTCCTCTGGCCAGAAGGTAATTGTAAGGTACTCTCTATATGCTAAGGTATATATCAATATAAATGAAATACAAACAGCATGCCTATAAATTGGAAACCAAAATAATTTGCATATTATCATGCATTTCAGTGGTTCTCTCAAGATCTAGAAGTGAGTTTTCGCAGTATAACTCACCCTGGTAAGAATTCTGCAAGAACAGACAATCTTTTAGCACCAGGTCTCCCAACTTGCTTGATTTTATGCAGTCGTCTTCCTGACATCTAGAAAATGTGACGGATAAAAAAAGGGAGAGGGCAATGATTGCATATCAGTTTACGATATAGTAAAAGGATTATTTCTCCATTGTTACAAAAGAAGTAACTTTCTGATTTGAATGAGTATGACAATATAGCAGTTAAATTTCGCATTGAAGAAACAAATGGGAATCAATGTAGATAATCTCTTGGAGTTATTTCAGTCAATGATAAATCAAGATCACATAAGCATTCAAGAACCAATAACATTTTGATAAACCCATGTGAAAACACAGAGATATGCACCAACCTAGCTGTGGTTTTCAAACAGAACAGCCTATAAAGCTTCAGCCCATGGCCTTAACTTTCTGTCCACTGAACCATATCCTCCTCATGATGCAAAGATTCAGGACTCTAGACTATCTCCAAGTCATCTGTTGTTAGAGAAAAATACCTGCAACATATTACCAAATAAGTGTCCAGCCAGCGTGTCTATTGTACCTTAAAAAGAAAGGCATAAAATTAGAAAGAAAAGAAATACATCAACAGTAACAAATAGAAGCCGCAGTTAGTCAAAGTAGTGCACCAAATTTAACCTTATGTCTCTCACTCTACTCAATACAAAATTGCATCAAAATAAACTAAATTTATCAGATAAAAAGGACTAATAAATATATTTTAGGAATATACATTAAGATATAAAATGTGCTCATCAACAGCCATAAAATACCATTAATTAAGCTCCTCCTCCTTGACTTGGTGTAGTCTCCATTTGCTTCAAGGGGCAGCTCATCTTCAAGCCTTTTTCCATTCCTCTACACCAAATTTTTCCAAGATATTAAGACAATTGTAATGGATATTTTTAAAAGATACATCCACAAGCTCAAGGAAGTACCAAAAATGAGGAGAATCTAAGAGTCTGAATTAGTAAAATTCGAGGAAAGCAGAAGATGACATTTAATCACAATGCTGCAGCTAATACCTACCATAGAGATAGATGACCATTAATAATCAAGATCAATGGGTAAAAGGGTAGGGAATAACTCAAAATTAGATTAAACAGTAAATGACTACTATGTTGCTACTCTTACTCCTGCCTAGTATGCGAATCCCTCTTATTCATTGGTTTTGGTCAACATATTTGCATTTTCAGGCTCAAAGATGCATCTTCGTACCAAAAAATTTGTTGCAAAACCTGCCTCAATCCTTCATTTGAATGAATGCGTTAACTAATTAATTAATTAATTAATTAATGTACTTCAAAAAGAGAGGGAAGAAAAAACAAGGAATTCAAGCATTAGGAAAATGTAGCAAATTTATGGTGACAATTGAAGGTTAGTGCAAGTGTAAATAAGGGCAAAGTTCATACCTTGAAATGCAAAATGATTCACAGACTCCCTAATTATAAAGAAATTGGGGCTAGTGCGAGTGCGCTGTCAAATGGAACCCTAAAAATGATTCAAACATGTCACCTTTGAAGAGTCCAAGTTCACAATGAAAAGAAGGAGAGGCCAAGAGTGGCTTCGACAGAATCACAAACACATATTCAAAAGCGGCTTCGACACCAAATTTACCTGAGTCCAAACAACTAGGGATTTCGCACCTGTTAAAATTCACAAGATACTGATTAATTAATCTGGAAACTGAAACTCATGATGTAGGGATTCGTAAATCAATCGCCAATATACACAAGATCGTTCTGCTTTCCAATTTTCAAACCTTCCAAAAGTTATCAAATTATAACATGCAGATCAAATTACAAAAAGAATAGGTGAAAAGAAGCAACTATACCTTTCGCCTTTGAGCTGGAGGAGGCAGCGGTCTGAGTTTGGTTTATGGGTAAAATTTGGGGGTTTTTCGTCTGGGTTTCGGTGGGTTGTGCAAGAGGCAATTAACGGGACTGAGAGGTTGAGAGAGAGGGCTGAGGGAAGACTGCGGTGTGAGAATATATTAACGAATAAGATGGAGAAGCGACGTGTCAATTGCCGAAGACCAATTGGCATCGTCATAAAGGTTATCAAAAAAATTGAAACCTGTGAAGCCACCACAAACGATCCGAGAGAACGGAGGATCTGAGTGAGATAGAGAGGTTGAGAGAGGAGGGAGGGAGGAGGAGGAGGAGGTAGTTCAAGAGTTGAGAGCGAGAGCTCTACTTGCCTGAAAAAAAAAAACAAAAAAAAACAAAACCTAAAATCTGAGGGGTGTAAAAGAAAGAAGGAAGGGTGTAGACGATGATGTATACGTATAAGTTTTTAATTGGTACTTGGTACAATGGCACGGCGGAGGGCTTTTAGGCATGGTTTTGAAGTTATCCGTGCCTTTAGAGCAACTCCACCCATATTGCCCTTAGCCATGGCAAGGGGGGAGCTAGGGCAGCCACTATTCACGTGAATAGTGGTTGCCCTTGCAAAATCAGAATTTTGTGTTTCCACCCATTGCCCTAGCTAAAGGCAGTTACTATTCATTTTTTTGTTTTATTCACAATTTTATTTACCTTAATAATTAATGTGGATAATATTTTCGGATAAGATTTACGGGTTCCTACGTGTCAAGACTATTCATAATCAGATAAAATTTCGGGATAAGATTTTTTGGTTCAAATTTCGGATGAATTTCAAAATTCAAATTTCAGATAAATTTTTGGGTTCAAATTTCGAATGAATTTCAAAATTCAAATTTCGGATGAATTTCAAAAATCAAATTTCAGATACATTTGGGTTCAAATTTCGGATGAATTTCAAAATTCAAATTTCAGATAAAATTTGGTTCAAATTTCGGATGAATTTCAAATTTCAGATAAGATTTTCATCCAATGAAATCAAGCCACGTGGCATCTTTATCTTGCCAAATTTTTCTATAAAACCAAAGGCTCACCTCATACCTCTCACACCACATCTTTCAATATTTTCATTTCTTAGAGTTTAGCATTCATACTCCATTCATTCTCAATGGAAGAATATAGGAGATGCTTGGAGAGGCATGAGAGAGAAAGAAAGGAGAGAAACCGTAGAGCCGATGAAATGAATGAGTTGCAGAGGCAAGTTGATGAACAAGTTCTCATAGCAGTGGCAATGGAAGAGGAAGAGAACCAAGGTCGCCGCCGTGGTTCACAAGTCGGCCGTCGCCGGAATGTGGACAGACATAGGCATTCTCGGGGTAAGAATCTTTTGGAAGATTATTTTATCCCAACTGCTTTGTACAATGATGTTGATTTTCGAAGGCGATTTAGAATGCAACCCCACTTGTTCAATAAAATCATGCATGATATTTGCAATTATGATGCATATTTTGTTCAAAAGTGTGATGCTACTGGGGTTTTGGGCCTTCTGCCGGAGCAAAAGCTTACAGCTGTTATACGCATGTTGGCGTATGGAGCATCTGCTGATCAGGTGGATGAGGTTGCCCGAATGGGGAAGTCCACTACGTTGGAGGCTTTGGTAAGATTTTGTGATGCAGTTGAAAACCTGTACACTAGGGACTACCTGCGTAGACCTACTCCCAGGGACCTCCAACGGCTTCTACAAAAAGCCGAAGCTCGAGGATTTCCAGGAATGATTGGTAGCATCGACTGCATGCATTGGCAATGGAAGAATTGCCCAACTGCCTGGCAAGGTGATTACGGAAATAGGAAAGGCACAAAAAGTATCATCCTGGAAGCCGTTGCTGGCTTCGACACATGGGTTTGGCATGCTTTCTTTGGAGTTGCCGGAGCCCAAAATGACCTCAACGTCCTGGGTCAATCTCCGGTCTTCAACGATGTTTTGAGCGGCCAAGGCCCCAATATTACCTATGAAGTCAACAATACAGTCTACCAGACGGGGTATTATCTAGCTGACGGTATCTACCCAAGGTGGACCACATTTGTCAAATCCATTTCGAATCCCCGATCCCATAAGCAAAAATTATTTGCTACTTATCAAGAAGGATACAGGAAAGATGTCGAAAGGTGTTTTGGCATCCTTCAAGCTCGATGGTTGATTATTCGAGGTGCGGCTCGTTTGTTTGATCAGGAGATCCTCCGGAGCATTATGATGACTTGCATCATCCTCCATAATATGATTGTGGAGGATGAGTACGATTATGATGCTGGAGAGGTCTATGAACCGGATCCAATAAACACGGCCTTGACCCGGATTTATGAAAGGCCCATGGGGCCAAATGGAGAACCGTTTGAGCTGGAACCGTTGGTGAGAGACGATCGTATGATGACCCGGATGATAGATCGATATACAGAGATGCAATCTTCCTATATTCATGAAAGCCGTCAACTTGACTTGATAGAGCATTTATGGACGGTGAAAGGGAATGAAGATGAATGATGGAGCATAGATGCTTTGGTTATGTTTTAGGCCTTATGTTTTGGTTGTGTTGTTTAGTATTGCTTATGGTTTGGTTGTGTTGTTTTTTTATTTATTATTGTGCCTTGTTTCTAGTTTTTGTTTTGATTTGAATTATGTTGTGTTTGATGTATGGAATATGTTGAATAAAATTGTCTTTTATTAAAAGCTTTGTTTATTAAATAAAGAAATCCAATACAAGTCATTAAGAATTACTACTACTAAAATAAAAAACATGAAGTACACCAACTTTAATAGAAAACAAGAAAATTAAAAATACATAAAAGGTATGCCAACTAATTTAATGGTTTTGATCATTTAACCAATCCGTGTTGCTAGGCCCATCATCGTTCCCTCTCTCTCTCCGGTCCGCGGCTGCATGGCTGGAAGCATATTTTTGTTTTTTTCCCCCCTCCCCTCGGGCTGGGCTGCATGGTTGGAATAGCTCTTAGTGAAGTGGTGGAGGGCTTTTAGGCACGGTTGTTAGTTATCTGTGCCTTATTTGTTAACTTATTCAAATAATTAGTCACAAAATTTATTAATCTGTCCCTAATAGTATTTTATAGACTGTTTCTAGTATCAGTCCCTAATGACACTCAATAGAGACTGTTTTCATTTGTGTCTCTAATAAAAGGGTCCTTATTGAGCGTTTTTCTAGTAGTGGAAGCTTTGTACTGAAGTTGCTTTCTATTGTAGTTGCAGCTTCAACATCATTTCGTCAAAGTCAACATATCATATACGATCATCAGTAAAAACAACTATTTTATTTTTATTGTTTAATAATTTGGCGCACTCGATTTGATTTGCTTAAAAAGCTATATTCAACAAAGCTGAAGTTTCATCTCTGTCACACAGACGAAGACCTAATTTGTAGGCACCACAATTAAAATAAGGGAGTTTCACTAAAACACCCAAAATGGGGGTTGAAATTATAAAAAAACCAAGCACTATTTAAACATATAAACACACCCAAAACCCATCATTACACACACTCAAAACCCATTTATAAACACACCAAAAAAGTTGACTTTGGGGTTAATTTTGGGTGTGTTTCTATGTTTAAATAGTGCTTGGGTTTTTTTATAAATACATGTCTAGGATTGGGTTTATTTATAAATTTGTATTAAAATAATTCGTTCACATGATTAACACTAATTAACAAGATTTGGACGAAAATAATTTAAAAATATCCACTTGTTTGACATTAAGGTCAATATATGCTAATTTTCTAACAAATTGAATTAAGGGAATAAGATGCTATGAACTTCAATATTTTGTCTTCACTCTCTCAGTTTATATATATATATATATATATATATATATAACTTTTATTCAATTTGAACTCGGAACTACGTGTAACTAGACGACAAATCCTGAGCAAATTGAAGAAAAAGATTGCATGGTTTAGTAGAAATTGCTTCCAAATTGTCTCTTATTTCATCAAAGAAGCAAAGACACAATGAAAGAAGCAACTCTTCTCAGTGCGAGTAATCCACTGAACTGTACGTACAATGAGTTGTATACAATGTGGCTTAAGGAAAAGGACATCACTCAAATTGCTACACAGACCAAAGAAACCAAGCATAAAAAATGAGAGAGAGAGAAGCTTATAAGAAAGTTTGTGGTGATCAGCAAGAGATTTATAGTTCAAGTGGTTAATAGTATTTATTCCAGCATTGCACCCAAGATCCTACGATAGATTTCCTCCTCCTCATATATTACTTGTATTTAAAATAAAAATATAAATAAAGGGTTTATGGTCATACGCGTACACCTAGCACAAGAAGATGATGATCGTGTTATTGTTGTAGGGTATGATGCATTTATATGATGCATTTATATGATGCATTTATGTGACTATTGGCATTAACATTTCCAACATGTTGGTCATGTGAAGTGGTGAGCTGGACTTGTTCTGGTTAACCCTTCTTTCGAAGAGTACGATTGAGCACTGAGCTTTCAAACCCACCAAAACTTTATCATCGTAAATTAGTAGCATCAAATCACAAATGTCAATCTATGTTGCCATTTTGTTCCACAACCTGATCCCAGAAATCTAGATGTCACTTATAACACTTTTGCGTTGAGCCTTTGAGAAATTACACTTTGATGATGTTACCAATCAAAAGGAGATCCTAGCAATGGAGTTCAAGTTAGAAAATAGGGCACAACAAAGCACTGTGTACCAAAAATAGGGCACAATATAGTTAGTTCCCCACGCTCGCTACCATTGAGAAATGTTATTGCTATTAATGGTTAAATATATGGTTTTAGCTCTAAGACGGATTTGTTATACCATGTAATCGTATTCTAGTCAATAACCTTTTCATCTATTGAGCTTTGTCCCTGGCTATTCTTGTTTGTTTTGCCTGCTAGGCCTTGGGCCCTCTCTTTAAGAAAATCTTACGTTCATTCTTTGTTCAGATTTTATAACCTTATGTAGGCCCAGGAGGAGAATGAAGTGGATAATATGGAGATTGCCCAATCAGATTATTTCACATACCAAATTGTTGGGTGGATTAAGAAGCTGCAATTAGATTTTTGAGACATAGATGTCGTGCATTCTCCTTGACTATGTGGAAACATTTCACTACGAATTTCAATCACTTTCTTTAAACATCAAAAGCCCAAAACAAAACTACATATGGCTAGCTAGGGCAGCAAGCTAGAGTTTACAATTCTGGACGCAACAAATATATCATCTATTTGACATTGATTTTCAATTACTGAGGCTTGAAGAAGCTCACCTTAATACCAGTATCAATCACAACATAAAGACCAGCCGCAGTCAACATAACACTTAAAATCATCCCCACAACCCCAAGCACCCAGTTAACCCCCCAACTTATGCCGTACTTCTTAGGCTTCTTCATCTTGATCCACATGAAACATGGATAGGCCAATGTCACAGGCAATGAAATCCCTCCTAGCAAACCAGCCACGCTTCCCAGGAAGGGGATGGCCACAGCCATGAAGTAGCATCCATAAGTAAACATGCATCTCACAATGGCCCTCAGCCACCATGGAGCTGGCTTCTTGGACCTCCTGGTGTATTGTGATTCCATCTCGTCGAACATCGGCATGCCATAGATTTGGAAGGAGCTCAATGCATTGACTATGACAAACAAACTTGCTAGCCCTAAGATGAATTGGGACGTGTCGAGCGCATGGAAGGTGAACAAAGCCGAAAACATGCCTCCTTGTGCTGGTATCTGCGAATGAGAAAACATATATTAATGTTGTCACAATTAAATGTTCTTTTATTAAATATCTAATATATTATATATTATCATAATGCTAATTTGGACTACGTTCAAACATTTAAAAATAATCCAAATTAATAATCTCACAATATAACATTGGTTTAGGGTATGGTATACCTTTTGACCGTATGCCCAATAGCCTACAATTGCAAGAGGGAAAATGCACATTGCTATGAGTGTGTAGGAAATTTGGACACCCCTCCACATAGGCACACGTGATGGATGTTTTTCACTGGACGGCATTGTGGCCTGTAATTAAGGGAAAACCTCAATTAGTGGAAAATATACAAAATTAGTCAAAAAGCTTTGTATTGAAGTTGCTTTCTATTGTAGTTGCAGCTTCAACATCATTTGGTCAAAGTCAACATATCATATATGATCATCAGTAAAGACAACTATTTTATTTTTATTTTTTAATAATTTGGCGCACAAGTTGAAGTTTCATCTGTCATGCAGACGAAGACCTAATTTGTAGGCACCACAATTAAAATAATTCGTTCACATGGGTAACACTAACTAACAAAATTTGGACGAGAAGAATTTAAAAATATCCACTTTTTTGACATTAAGGCCAATATATGCTAATTTTCTAATAAATTGAATCAAGGGAATAAGATGCTATGAACTTCAATATTTTGTCTTCACTCTCTCAATTTTTATATATATAACTTTTATTCAATTTGAACTTGGAACTATGTGCCACTAGACCAAATTATCATCGACAAATCCTGTTTCTCATTTAGAAAAACAGAGTCGGGGTTCTAAAATAATTTTTCTGTTATTAAGGAAGAGAAATGGTTTGTTAATTAATTGAAATTGTGAGATTAATGAACATACCTGGATCTCAAGTATAAGGTTGTGGCCTCTGAAGGCAAAGGCAATCATTCCAAGGGCATTAAGAACATCAAAAAAATGGATGTATTGTTTGTCGGCTTTCACGGGGTCATAAGACACATCGGGAAGCTTGCCCTTGTCCAGAGACACAACCCAGATCAATGTGGAGTAGCCAATAGCAGAAATAGCACCAACAAGAGACACTCCAGCAATGGAGTTCAAGTTGGGCAGCTGAGAAAGAATCGAAGCTACGACTGTAAACACCAAGTACCACTCTGCTGGTGTTAATGACTTTACAGTGCATGTATGTCCACACACAATTTCGAAGAACATCTTTGCTGTTGACCCTCCAAGGACGATCAGAGCTACACACGTGCCGCCCGATAGGTACAGGATTGGGAACAAGGCTAAGAACTGTGCTAGCTTCTCACCTAAGCAAATTAAAGAAAAAGATTGCATGGTTTAGTAGAAATTGCTTCCAAATTGTCTCCTATTTCATCCATTTTTTTAGTTAAATGCATGTTTGGGAGTGTTTCGGAAAATATTAAAAACCTTTTGAGATGCGTTTGACATAAATAGACAAAAGTGTTTTTGGAAATTACACAAGCACTTTCTGGAGAAGAATTTCTAGTTTGGAAACTTTTTGAAAAAAACACTGCGAGGTAAGTAAAAGAGTTTTTGCATAATCACTTCCAAACAGGGCTTTTGGGTATTTTAGCTTAAACGTATGAAAAATGGTAAGTCTTACCAAAACTTGCATTGCAAAGTTGAATGTATCTGCAATATCGTAGGCCTGTTTCAGCAGATTCATGAAGCTGGACCAGCAAGTATAAAGTGTAAAGTTGCCATATGAACGCCAAAGTCATGCATATAATCCCCCATGTC